CGTTACTGGCGTGGTGTACCTAATAAAGTGGCCGGTGAGTGTATATATGTATATGTATAAATATGTTGGTTTTACTCATAATAAATCAATTTATATGCAATTATGTGATCAATACTACTAATACAAAAAGTAAAACATGTGAGCGCATGCTAGCCTGTTGTTTATATAATGATAAGAATTGAGAAAAAAATGCCTGAATAGTTCAGTTGTAATAGTTTTTGTGAAATTTAGCATAAACTATATAAAGTATTTTTCTTGTTCACATGAATATGGTTTTTTTCATTTGTTCTGATGTGTATAAAAATAACGATAAATAATAAAACTCACAATACATTTTTTAGTTTTATGTCTCCTCCACTGGCTGTAAAGGTTACTGAAAAGGCCCACGGACCACCGCTTGATAATCCTAGTTGGGGCTTGTTTTGCGGCTCTGGACACATTTTATTAGTATGTCAAGCAGCAGAATTGGCTCTTTTGGTTGTAAAGGTTGCAGACCCCTGATCTAAAGGAAGGAAAAGGCTATCTAAAAGCTAAAGATTGTAAAAGGCTAGCTGAAAGCTAATGTGGCAAATGCAAGCTAAAAACATCAAAAGACTAACTAAAATGAATGAAATATAACCAAAAAGTAAAAGTAGATGCTATGTAGAAGCTAAATTAGCAAAATATTTTATAAAAGCTAAAAGCATCAAACGGCTAGTTAAAAGTAGTAAAAGATTGCTAAAAAATAAAAGTATAAAATGGATTGCTAAAAGGTACGGTAAGTGCAAAAGGCTAGCTTTTCACAGACTATTTAAAAATACAACAGACAAAAGAAGAAAAAAAATAAAGTGCCCACCACCCCACCCATTCTGCAGGTATAAAACAGAGCTTTCATCTCAGCAGCCCACCATCGACCCAGCCTGGGTTTACAGAGCAGAGAGGAGCAGAACAGAAGCAAAAACAACCCAGGTAAGACAGCCTCTTMAATCATCATAAAAATAAAGAATAAACTAATAATTGTTGCTGCCTTTTTTTAAGATTTAATAAATTATAATGCACATATTCAGAAATATTCTCATTTGTTGTTTGTGAGGTATGGAATCAACACACGGCCCTGGAGCAAACTGTGGGGTTGTGGGTAATAATTCTGCAGCTCTGGAAATCAAAGGACCTCCGCTGCTGCTCGACGCCTGGCTGGTGCCCACTTTCTTCGGCCTCATCATGCTGGTCGGTCTGGTTGGGAACTCGTTGGTCATCCATGTGGTCACCAAGCACCAGCAGATGAGGACTGTCACCAATTTCTATATAGGTAATCTACAACCAAAGTGATCAACAGCAGCAGCATCAAATTGACTTGAATATGATGAATACATACACATTTTTGGATGCAGATCCTTGAATATGCGTCAGTTTCATTAAATGTATCTTGTGTTGATGTGCTTGTTTACTACATGTGTGTATTTATGAGTCACTGTTGTTGTTTTCTTCCAGTAAACCTGGCTACTACTGACATTTTGTTTCTCATCTGCTGCGTGCCCTTCACTGCCACGCTGTACCCTCTGCCCAGCTGGATCTTTGGAGAGTTCATGTGCCGCCTCGTCAGCTACCTTCAGCAAGTGAGATACAGACATTAACAAATCATCACATGCACCCAAAAACACACATATTAAAAAATGATACTGCAAATTCCTGGAAAATTAGAAACATAATAACATACAGTCACCTGTACAGCTGTAAGAGGATACTAGAAAACCATAACTGTACTATATAAAGATTATTATTACAGTAATATCATTAGTGTAAAAAAACATGACACATCATTGCATCATTTAAAAAAATTTTAAATAAATAAAAACCAATAAAAAGGATGTGTGGAAATATGCTCTTATCTGCAAAAGATAAGTATTGAAGAGAGTAGTAAATATATGATGTAATGATATTACATCATATATTTACTCAAATACTATTGATTAAACTACAAGTATAAAAGTGCAATGAGACACTTTGTGTTGTTTCCTGTTTTTATTTCCTGTTTAATTATTTTAATACTCGCTTTCTTTTACAACTCAATACACACACATATATATTATAGGGACATGATGATGTATTAATCACACAATATTTTAGTTAGTGTTTCCCCAAATTGGGGTTAGGGCCCTACTATGGGGTCACAAAGCATAAAGTTTGGGGTCTTACGATTATTTTCAGGAACAAAATTTTATAACAATTAGTTAATTAGTTTTGCAAATGGGAGATGAAAAAAGTTTTTAATAACTTTTTATCAGAGTATAGTTTATTTAGTCTGACAGAATACAGTATCTACTGGTTATTCAAGTTCATGATGGTAACTTGTTGCYACATGAGGTGTTATATGGTACAAAGGATGTTTGTGATAACTCACAAGATGCAGTCAAGACTAACTATTGGTCCTCAGTGTGTAAATAGAAAACAACATAAGGATAATGGAAGTTTCAATTCTGATCTTAGATAAAGTTCAGGTTAAAGTCTGGTTTTCAGTGTTCCACCTTCATAAAATACTGATTTTATGTTGTTTTATTAATCCCAAGAATTTGTCAAATACTCATCAAATRGCTGGAAAATGCAGTTTTGAGTAGATCTTTAACATARTTTTCTGGGGGAGTAGACCCCTGGACCCCTCTAGAACTGCTTCACTCCACAGCTGCTGGTTAACATGAACAAGTGTTCCTCATTACTGTCAGCAGATGTTGGCAGGTATGAGGTCGACATCTGGTRTTCTGTTTCAAATKAATTATATTGTTCACCAATTTAATTGGACAACCTGGTTTCTAAAGGTAAAAAACATCAAAGACAAAACTATTTAATTTGGTATGTAAATGCATGAAAATTGGCAGTGAGAAAATTGCACCACCTGAAATCTTGCCTAGGGCACCAAACTGACTAATTGGTCTGATTATTTGCCATAGTTGGTGTGAGAGAAGAAACATCTTCCTTTCTTCTTCAAGTTCAAGTTTATTTATATAGCGCCAAGTCACAACATACGTTGTCTCAGGGCACTGTACATAAAAAGAATAATCTAAAGAAGAAACCAGCAGGCTGCGTTGAATCACTTTTTTTTATGATAAGATACTTGTACTTTTACTCAAGTATCACTTTGAGGTACTTTATACCAGCACTGATATTTTCAGCTCTTTCTTATAGTCTTAGGGTCCACTTTCAGAAAATGTTTTTAAAAAGTTGGGTCTCACTGCCCCCCAG